CAAGGTGGGATACCCTTCCAGTAAATCAATGGTAGACCAGTACCATAACATGGCTGTGGGTACTGGCAGGGCACTGGGAATACTCAGGTGCAAGTTATTCTCTCCACAACAAGAAAATATCATTTTTTGGCAAGCAAAGGTCTTAGTGTGATACTTTTTGGCAATTTGGAGAATCACATCCTCCTTTAGATGGGATTTGGGTTCAAATAACCCCTGTACTTCAAGCCGATGTTGGAGGGAAAGTACCTTCAGCACCACAAACAAAACATTCTACACAAACCTGAGCTGGTCTCATGTAAAATACTAAATATTCTCTCTAAATTACTTCCTCCTTTTGCATTTTATCTGTTGAATGGTAGTAACTAATATTTTTGTGTTGGGAGAGCACCTTTACGAAGGCAGCAGGAATTGCAACAGGTTTAAGGTTAAACCAGCCCCATTCCTTTTGGTGTTGCTGGAAACTGTCATAATTATTTCAGAATAAATTTAACAATCTAGCCCTAGATCCTTCATTTTTCTCCCTTTTAGAGGGAACAGGTTATTTCTGATGGCAGATAAGATCCCATCCAAGGTAATGATTTACCAAAACAAAGCTAAAGGGAGGAAGTTTAAAAAAAAGGCAATTTTCTTTCTTAATTCCAAGGCTTCAGGAAAGCAGGAATTTGGGGTTGGTCCTTTTCCTTTCTACTCCCGGTACTTGAACCCCAAAATCCACCCCACAAACCAGAGAACCTGCTGAAACCTCAGCAAACATGGGTTTTCCTAATTTCCCAAGTCCGTATAATAAGTGCTACGATGTGAAAACACCCGTTTTTTTGGAGGAAGACAACATTATGAAAGGGAAAAACCTCGCCTGAGAAGGTTTCCAAGCAGGAAGGATGGAGGCAGGTGCATCTCAGCGTTACTCGAAATGCTGGGGTGAGGAGGGGGAGGAGGGAAAGGAGCTGCAGTCGTGGTGAAAGCACAACTTCCAATTTCACATCAAACCTTCTGTTACTCAGCGCCCGTGAAATAAAGGATAGAAATGAAAATTTAAAAGTGGTCGAACTAAAAATAAATAAATAAATAAATGATGGAGCTGTAGAACTAAAAATAAATAAATAAATAAATAAATGATGGAGCTGTAATTTGTGATTTAAACCCGGTGGGAGCGTGGAATTAAACCCCAATCGTGCACGTTTGTGCTTACACAAGGAGAGGAAGGTTTCAACAAGCACTGCAGAGCAGAGAGGGAGGAGGAGGAGGGCTGGTCGGCCGAGAGCACAGTGACCCTTTGGCTTCTTCTACCCGGAAAGTCCAAGGATGTAAAAGCAAGAGCTCTGTAAAATGCTGAAGATTTTAGAAGTGTAATGGCAGGTAGAAAAGGACACTGGTCTTGTATCAGTGGCAGCCCCAGTGTTAGGAGACAGTCTAGGCTTCTAGGAGGAGAAAATAGAAGAGAGGGGAAAAAGAAGGAGGAGAGGGAAACGGGATGGGGAAAGGGGGCAAAAAAGCGCAAGTCATTAGTAAACATGAACATTCAGGTAGCAACTGCACAACAAGCAATATTTCATTTAGTGCAGCCAGGAGATTTGCCAAAAGCCAGATTAGAGACACGTGGAATTTCGCTTTTTTAGACGTGTCTGAAAAGATCTTGCTCGTCACGCTACAGCACGACGTGGTGCCACATGCAAAAATTAGCCGTGATAAATCAAGATTAGTGACAAATTGCCATCCAAAGAGCAGCGGCGGCAGCTCAGGACGCTGCTTAAAAGCACAATTTGCACCCAAAGCAGCGACAAACCAAGTATTTTTGGGAGCCGGTCTGGGAGAAGAGAGTGACCAGGAGGCTGGGTGGAGAGAAGGTCCAGCTCGGGGGAAGTATGACCATGGGACAGTGATACTTCCCAGGTCACTTCTCACCTTCCAGCAAGATCACGACCAGGAGCTCAGGAGAAATGTCCACATTAAACCATTTGACCATCATCGATGGATTTCTTTCCAGAAATTTGTTTGGGTTTTTTTTAAAAGAAAAAAAATCTATATAATTCCTTTGAACTCTAGGCAAATATCCTGCAATAAGGAGTTGCAAACGTTGCACTAGTCAAAAATGACACTTTTTATTTTTGGGTTGTTTTAAACCTGCTGTCAGTTTTACCAGGCACCCTCTCAGCTTCCCACAGAAGCGGTTGCCCAGTTCAATACCTGGATGCCATCAGTGATTATAAACTACTCCAGTTCCCCCCCTCCTCGCCCTGGCTGATCCCCTCGAGCTGCAGCAGATGTGCACAGTTCCCCCCCAAAACGCCGCACCGGCCGCTCTGCTATTTACCCTTATAAGGACAAAAAAAAAACCCCAGAATGACTAGAGAGAGGTTCCAGGCTCTGTGCTGAGGCCCCAAGCCAGAGCTCCCAGGCTGGAGCTCTCAGATTCTCAACAATAAAATAATCAAAAAAAAAAAAAATCCAACCCCCAAACCCACAAAGTAAATAAGGAACCGCCACGTAGGGCTCAGCGCTGCCAAGAATTGAACCCTCTGGAGAAGTTGCCTCTCTTGGGGGGGCACAGGGGGGACTCAGCATCACGGTGGGGCTCCCAGAGTAAACACTCGACGTAGAGTCAACCCTTTCTGTTCTTCTTTTACATTCTGAAACGCTGAACTACGCACATCCCCGCAGCAAGGGTTTAAATACATCAGGGGTATAATATAAATAAGTCAAGAGTTACTGCAGGGTTTGGCCCCCGAGTTACAGGAGGTTTGGATTTTTGCCATCCCTTACATTAAGGGTATTTTGGGGGGGGGGGGGGCAGGAGCAGCCCAGGCTGCCAAAGCGGCATGAAGATTTCAGGGAGAGATAAGGGGATATTTGTATTTTCAAATAGCTTTAACTACATCTTTCCCCGATGCTCGCCCTGAAGTCTCTTTCAGAACCCAATTCAGACACATTTCTGCTTTTAAAAGCTCTCTCTGGAGCTCTTGATGCTACTTCTTGGTAGCAAAAAGCTGGTTTTCCTCGAGCATCATCACCTCCCTTGGTCCTCTCTCAGCTACTCCCTTCCCACCTCTGTGCTGGGCTCACGCTGCACAGCCAGAGAATTGTTTTGGCTTTAAAAAGAGCCCGATCAGGGAATGGATCCAGCTATAAATTAATAAACCAGCCGAAAACTGAAGGTGGTTTCAGGCCAGGGACCAGGAGCTTTAGGCAGCACCTACTGAAGGTAGGACCAGGCACAACTGATGTCCATCACCTGCTGTGGAACATCTCATCTCTTGTTCTGCTCCTCACCCTGAAAACCCTTCATTGTCTGAGGGGAATTCAGCGTTTCTCCCCCTCTCTCTAATGTAAAAATGTGGATATTTCAAGTATTCTGTAGAGAAGGGAGTAGGGAGAAAAAGAGTCTGTGAAACAGTTGTGTTGTCTAAACCTCCTGTTATTCTGCAAAGCCTAATTAACTCGCTGCCTACGACCCCCCCTCCTCTGCCACGCTGCTTCCACCACTTTGATGTTGCTTTCAGACAGCCTTCAACAAGAAGGAAAAATAAATAAAATCCAACTCTACCCCACAAAGACAGAACTTATGAATAAATTAAAAGGCTTCAGACACATAAAAGTATCTTTGATCACAGTTGTTTGCATTTAGTGTGTGAAGAGTTAAACCTCCAGAAAGTTACTAGGAAGTAAACAACGAGATTATTATTTTTTTAATCACAATTCAGAAGTTCAATTAAAAAAAAAATGCCAATGCATTGAATTAGTCATACCTGGAGTATCATAAATCTGATTTTATTTCTATATCTCCTTTTAGTTATATCTATTTAAAAAAAAACAAGAGGAAGTGTCCTTAGGAAGGTTCAGAGCGCCGTTAATTTTAGTTGCCTATTAAATGATAAAAGATGCACAGCTTCCTTTTCACCACATTTGCAACAGCAAAGTAAAAAGATCAATTTTTAGATTCCCATCCTCCATAAGAAGGTGAACACCTGCTCACACTCAACAGAATTACAGCCAAAACAAGTGGTTTAATTCCTGCCTGTCTCCCACTCCCACACAGTCATCACTATCTCGGGGCTGCACCAGGGATGCTCGTGCAGGGACCACCCGAACAATCTCAGGATGACAATCAACTTTTCCAATATTTTATCCTCAAGAAAATGGAGGTGCTACAGTCTGGCCTCCTCACCCCAAAGGGAAACAACCCACAGGCCCATACCCAGTCACAGAGTTTGGTACCGCTCATCCAGCTGGGATTTGGTGGGAAACCCAAGTCCCTCTCACATTGTTCACCATTAAAGGTAACGGCTAAAAGGTGACTAAACTTCAGTGGGGTTTAGGCTGCTTGGAAAGATCAATTCTCCTTCAGATTCCTCACAACCTTGAAATACTGGTCCACTAAACTAACGACAAGGTTCTTCAGACAGAGGTGCCCTAACGCTGCATGGAAAAAGGCTCAGAAGACCTCAATTCCCCCTTTGACATCAGTAAAGGAGGTATTAGGAGATATTTACGGACAGGTGGTTTGGGGTGGAAGGAGATGCTGCAGAATGAGCAAAGCAGAGTGATTTCAGCAGCAGCTCAGAATTAGGGAATGAAAAAAACCAGCAAAGGGTGGTGCACCCTGAGAAGAAACATCACTGTCAGTCCCACGGGGACACGAGAAGTCACTCCCATGGGTCAGGGCAGAGTTCAGCCAAAATATCGTGTAATTGGAAAGCCCTTTAGGTATCGGTGCCCTAGAGGTTGCCTTCCCCACACTGAACTTGGATGTCTTCAGTCCACACAATGTCCTTTAGAATTAGGCTTTGTGAAAATAAGCAATTTCAAACCCAAAAGAGAATGAAGTTTCTATTTCGTTTCAAATTCTTTGAGAAGATCATAAAAAAAAAAAAAAACCCTAAACCCAACCCTCTATGGAGAAACACGACCCGAAAAAAGAAGATGCATTTTGTCACAGTGAGTTTTCACTGGTCCAGTAACAAATAAACGAGCTGACGTGTTCCCTTCAGACATGACACACGTACCTGTGCGGTGATCTATCCCGTGGTCACCGTTTTCTATGACCGTTGGCCCAGAAGCTGAAGTATCTGCAAGAAACCAAAGGAAACGTTAGAACTGGATGAAGTTAATCTTAGTCCAAAGCTTATTTTTAAGTTCCTGCCTTTGAGATCAGAGCGTGGCCCTTCTAAAAGCACCTGGTACTGGATGGTGCTGGTATTAACCCTGGTCCATGTCACCAGCAGCACAGTATTTCTGTAGGTGACCACAACAACCGGTGACCATGACAAGGCCATTTACGTAAATGGAAGACATCATCCCTGCACCACATCTTAAAATGTTTTTTTTCTAACGTCTTCTTAAATAAACTCTGCTTCATTTCTAAGAATTTATCCCATTTTTCCAGCTGGGAAATAGTGAAGACAAGTCGTCGCAGGAACGACACTGAGTAGTGTTAATTAAGCCTAACGAGCAGCACAAGCTCCAACAGCGGTTCGGTGCCTCGGGCCATCGGTTCTGCTTATTGTGATGAAACGGGGCATTTGCTTAAAAAATAAGTAAATAAAATCAAATCCCTCCCAGAGAGACACACACTCAGTTACCTGGAGTCGCTGCCGTCCCTTCCCTGAGCTCAGGCAGTTCTAAAACAAAGCTACGTTACCCGTGTGCTTCAGACCCAGCACTCCAGGGCTCAATCCAACCCTCAGGGAAGCAAAAGGAAAGTCCTTCCAGTTACTTCAGTGGCTCATCCTGGGGTTTCACACAAATTCAACATGAACTTGCCAGACAGCTTATAGAAAAACATACACCTACATCCTCTTCAAGTGCCTGAAAATACCAGAGGAATCCTTGGACCTGTTTCTCAGCAGTTAAACACAGCAGCTCCTCCTGCTGTCAGGCACTACAGGGTCTGGGATTTACTCCACCAGTACAACTCTCTTCTCTAGGAACTGGGAGAACTACCCACAGTCACTGGATTTAGTGGTCAGTTCAGGAGAGGAGAAATGATGGGTGATGGGATGGTTTCTACAACACAGTTGCCAGAAGAGATGCTGGGCTTCGTGTGGAGGACCAGGGTCTTACAAGGAGACTTCCAAGGAATCCCGTGGAGGAGCCCCACAGGTCCTGCAGAACCTCCCAGTTACCAGCAAAGAAGCTCAGCCCCAGTAAGTCCTGCTCAAAGAGGTGTCATAACACTGGTTTAATGAAGGCAGCTGAGAATGCCTCTGTGACAGTGGCTTTGCAAGTCTTCTCCTGTCTTCACTCATGCTAAACGTGTCAAAAAGCCTTTTGGTGGTGGAGAAAATAAACAGCAACCCCCCCTGGCACCACCCACAAACTCCCTCCCATTCCTTCCTCCATTTAAACTGGAATAGAAAACCTGAGAGCAAGTTCTGTTTTGAATTGGATAAAATGATCACATAGAAATGTGGAACGGTTTGGGTGGGAAGGGACCTTAAAGCCCCCCCAGTGCCACCCCCTGCCCTGGGCAGGGACACCTCCCACCACACCAGGTCCCTCCAAGCCCCCTCCAACCTGCCCTTGAACCCCTCCAGGGATGGGGCAGCCACAGCTTCTCTGCCCAACCTGGGCCAGGCTCTCACCACCCTCACACCAAACAAGTTCTTCCCCACATCTCAGCTCCATCTCCCCTCTTGCAGGGTCAAACCCTTCCCCCTCCTCCTCTGGCTCCCCTCCCTCATCCAGAGTCCCTCCCCAGCTTTCCTGGAGCCCCTTGAGGGACTGGAAGGGGCTCCAAGGTCTCCCTGGAGCCTCTCCCCTCCCCGATCCTATTGCCCGCTTGGTGCTGCTGGAAATTCTGTGTGTTTCAGCTCTTCAGAAAATAAATACTTCATCTGTAGAAACGTTTCATTCAGGGCCCAGTCCCCCAGGTGGGGAGTGATCCAAGCCAACTGCCTTCCGGCCAAAAGAGAAGCCAGGACACCCCACCCTCCCCTACCAAGGGCTCTGCAAACTTAAAACAAAACAAAACAACAAAACCCTACCAAAATATTAGTAACTGGGCAAAAGCTAAAGAAGATTTTAGGACCAACAGTGGGATCCCAAATGAGCAGAAGAACTGGGAATGCCTTGTCTTGCCTTTGGACCTTCTTGGGAACAACAAAAAGCAGGTAAAATGGTTTCCTTTATGGTTTTAGATTTTTTGGAAGACAAGCTTCGAGAAAAATCAGGTCAAATCAAACAACCCCCCCCAGCACTAGTAGCTTATATTTCTACGTCTCTGAAAGTCAGCTCCTTTAGAGAAAATCAAACTTATTTTAGTTACCTCAAGCACAAGCGTGACAGCACCCAACAATCTTCCCAGGGCCGTGGGTGCCCTCCCCTCATACTCCAAATTGCATAAAACCAAAACCATGTCAAGATGTTGTAACTACATAATCCTCATCGGAATCACAAGAGAGAGTATTTGCATCTGGCCCATGGATCAAAGGATTGTTTTTTTTATATAAACAAATTTAAGGCAGCAATCACTAAACCGATAATCTCCAGCAAATGGACAGTGCCAATATAAAACCCCGTAATCTCTGGCACGGAGCACATGGGAGCGCAACCACAACCTGGTGTGTTCCCACCACCAGCCCCATCGGAGGGACAGGAGAGCAGAGGGCAAAGAGAACAGAGAGCTCTTGGAAGATCAAGGTGGGGTGGACGGGTTGGGGATGAGAATAATTTTGCACATTTTATCATCCCATCACACTTCAGGTGTGAAAACGTGGTTGAACGCGACTGCGTCAGAGAACTTGGACCAAAAAAAGCCATGAGTGAGCACAAAAATGCTGATAAAGAGGGTGCCATAGAGCCAGAGGCAGCTGGGAACTCTTACACAAGTAGCTTGAGCCGTTTCAGTTCATACATTTGAACATTCTGTCTCAAAAGGGCTTCTGAAGAGCACTCATGGAATGGTAGGGGTTGGAAAGGACCTCTAAAGATCACCCAGTGCAACCCCTGCCAGAGCAGGGGACACCTCCACAGGAACACCTCCAGGATGGTTTGGAATGTCTCCAGAGAAGGAGACTCCACCACCTCTCTGGGCAGCCTCTGCCAGGGCTCTGCCACCCTCACACCAAACAAGTTCCTCCTCAGGTTGAGATGGAACTTCCCCTGTTCCAGTTTGTGCCCGTTCCCTCGGCACCACCAAAACCAGACTGGCCCCATCCTCCTGACACCCACCCTTGAAGTCTAGGGATTTATACTGATCAGAAACTTTAACAACTTTGGGACAGGAATGGGGATGGACAGACTTGGAGAGGGTGAAGGTGTTTAATGTATTATAAGAGATAAAAATGCACGTATCGGCATTATTTGTGGACTTTTTTTAATCCCTCTGAAACTCTGGGATCTTTGGCTCAGCTCCATCTCCCCTCTTGCAGGGTCAAACCCTTCCCCCTCCTCCTCTGGCTCCCCTCCCTCATCCAGAGTCCCTCCCCAGCTTTCCTGGAGCCCCTTGAGGGACTGGAAGGGGCTCCAAGGTCTCCCTGGAGCCTCTCCCCTCCCCGATCCTATTGCCCGCTTGGTGCTGCTGGAAATTCTGTGTGTTTCAGCTCTTCAGAAAATAAATACTTCATCTGTAGAAACGTTTCATTCAGGGCCCAGTCCCCCAGGTGGGGAGTGATCCAAGCCAACTGCCTTCCGGCCAAAAGAGAAGCCAGGACACCCCACCCTCCCCTACCAAGGGCTCTGCAAACTTAAAACAAAACAAAACAACAAAACCCTACCAAAATATTAGTAACTGGGCAAAAGCTAAAGAAGATTTTAGGACCAACAGTGGGATCCCAAATGAGCAGAAGAACTGGGAATGCCTTGTCTTGCCTTTGGACCTTCTTGGGAACAACAAAAAGCAGGTAAAATGGTTTCCTTTATGGTTTGAGATTTTTTGGAAGACAAGCTTCGAGAAAAATCAGGTCAAATCAAACAACCCCCCCCAGCACTAGTAGCTTATATTTCTACGTCTCTGAAAGTCAGCTCCTTTAGAGAAAATCAAACTTATTTTAGTTACCTCAAGCACAAGCGTGACAGCACCCAACAATCTTCCCAGGGCCGTGGGTGCCCTCCCCTCATACTCCAAATTGCATAAAACCAAAACCATGTCAAGATGTTGTAACTACATAATCCTCATCGGAATCACAAGAGAGAGTATTTGCATCTGGCCCATGGATCAAAGGATTGTTTTTTTTATATAAACAAATTTAAGGCAGCAATCGCTAAACCGATAATCTCCAGCAAATGGACAGTGCCAATATAAAACCCCGTAATCTCTGGCACGGAGCACATGGGAGCGCAACCACAACCTGGTGTGTTCCCACCACCAGCCCCATCGGAGGGACAGGAGAGCAGAGGGCAAAGAGAACAGAGAGCTCTTGGAAGATCAAGGTGGGGTGGACGGGTTGGGGATGAGAATAATTTTGCACATTTTATCATCCCATCACACTTCAGGTGTGAAAACGTGGTTGAACGCGACTGCGTCAGAGAACTTGGACCAAAAAAAGCCATGAGTGAGCACAAAAATGCTGATAAAGAGGGTGTCATAGAGCCAGAGGCAGCTGGGAACTCTTACACAAGTAGCTTGAGCCGTTTCAGTTCATACATTTGAACATTCTGTCTCAAAAGGGCTTCTGAAGAGCACTCATGGAATGGTAGGGGTTGGAAAGGACCTCTAAAGATCACCCAGTGCAACCCCTGCCAGAGCAGGGGACACCTCCACAGGAACACCTCCAGGATGGTTTGGAATGTCTCCAGAGAAGGAGACTCCACCACCTCTCTGGGCAGCCTCTGCCAGGGCTCTGCCACCCTCACACCAAACAAGTTCCTCATCAGGTTGAGATGGAACTTCCCCTGTTCCAGTTTGTGCCCGTTCCCTCGGCACCACTGAAAACAGACTGGCCCCATCCTCCTGACACCCACCCTTGAAGTCTAGGGATTTATACTGATCAGAAACTTTAACAACTTTGGGACAGGAATGGGGATGGACAGACTTGGAGAGGGTGAAGGTGTTTAATGTATTATAAGAGATAAAAATGCACGTATCGGCATTATTTGTGGACTTTTTTTAATCCCTCTGAAACTCTGGGATCTTTGGAGCATTCTCCATCTTCACTTTCATACAACAAAGTGTTTAAACTTTCTTCTGGAAAAGCAAATCCCGCCGCCTTCTGCAAGAAAAGTGCTTATTCCCAGTGCAGAAAAGAGGGTAAAAGGGAAAGGAAATGTGGTTTTTCAGGTTTTGGGCTCTGGAGCTGGTTTATGCCCATCCCAGGGGACGATGGTCTCCTCTGGAGCTGTGATTTGTGTGTCCATCCCAGGGGCCCATGGCCTGCTCCGCTCCGCAGCGGTGGCCGTCCAGCAGCATCAGGCAGAGCCATCTCGTGGTGACACTTGGGCTTGAAAAAAAAAGCCCCGAAGCCACTGCCCGGCGCAAATTAAAAGAATTTCAGCACTTACCACACGCTCAGCATTTGTCTCCCTATTACAAAAACACACACAAAAATGAAGAGTCACCACCAAGTCTGTGACCGGAGCAAGTTTGAAAATGCAAAACATGCATTTACTGTCACAGGGGCACGAGGGGCTGTGACACAGCCCTGGCTTTGTACAGGATTCCTCCATGGGTCACAATCAAACGTTTCAGAAACAATATGGGTCCTCGCTCGAGCTAAAACATTTCACAGGAGCACTGCTGCCTGCTGCAGGCTAGTAAAAAAAAAAAAAAAAAAAAAAAAAGCAGTATTTTCCTTCCAGTTGGAACTTGCTCCCACCCAAACGTCTCTCCCTTTGTCCTTCGGGATGCCTGACCCTATTTTACAGGAGCATCCTAATGAAAACTGTCACAACAGCCTCCAAAACTTGAACTGAAAGCTCCAGGAGACCCTTGAAACTCCTCGGAAGCGATGAGGAAAATGGGCAGCAAACAGTGTGGTACCCCCCGTCCCCCCCCAAAGCCATCCTTCCCCATTACATAAAACCCACAGTGTCCTAAGAGGATTATCCCAGAATTTGCCAAATTATGATGTCCCACCAGGGGCCAAGAAGAGTAAAAGCCCTTTCTGCTTAAGCTCTGCCTTTCCAGGGATGTTTTAAAAGTTAACTGTTATTGGAGCTTTATTCTAGGGCAAATTTGGAGGTGACCACAGAACTGCCCATCGCGTCTCCCTCCTCCTCCCCATCTCTCCACACTCACACGGTTCGCCCGGGTCTGTGATGGGGGAGCCCATCTGATCCTCAAACTCCTCTAATCTGGCTCCTGGCTTTAGGAAAAAAGTGGGGGGTGAAAAGCCTCGAGCAGAGATGAAATAGCGAGAGCCTGACAGGACGTGTGATTAAACCTCTTCTGACGGGAGAAAGACAATCTCAGTAGCAGAGACCGCGCTGTCTGAACACATTCGTGCCTTTTAACACAAATAAATTAACAAGCGGGGGCTGAAAAGCCTGATCCATGAAAGCAACTCTTCTCCCTGGGGAAAACAAAGCTATTTACAGTCCTATTCGGAGCCGGGGATGTAGAATTCTCACTGTCTTTCACATTTCAGTCCCCCCTCCCTAAGAACTTCAGGTTATACGCAAAGCACCGCACCACAACAACACCCAACACCCCCAAATTAGGACCTTGCAATATCTCACCCGGGCTCCTTTACTCTGTAGCCTCGGTAAAAGCAAGTAGATTAAGCTTTACTATATTTTTTTCAAACAGTTCTAAAGAATGAAGAAATCCCACAGAAGAAATAGATCTCCTTCCACTTCAGGGAAAACCAGATGAGACAAATCAGACGTAAACAGGATCAAATCCTAACGTTGTTTTAAACTACGGAGCTTCATGACCCTTCCCTTCCTGGTACAAGGTGGGAAAACTGGAAAAACACTATTTTATCCACTCAAGGCAAGCAAACTCTCCGATTTCTTCACTTAGGGTCTTGTGTTCATCTTGCCAAAGATTAAGATAACGCTCGTAACCGTTCTCCAGCTCTCCCAAAAAAGGGAAAAACAAATCTCTGAACCAAGAGCAAGAAATTGCATCCTCCCCTCCTTGTCATGAAGGAGGGAAACAAGCTCTGCTCAAGCAGACACTGGCTGCAGAGCCAGGGGAGGCACGGGGGAGGGATGGGGGGGCAGAAAAAACAAAACCAAAAAGCCCCAAGTCCCTCAGCCTTTCCTCAGCAGAGAGATGCTCCAGGCCCCTCAGCATCTCTGTAGCCCTCTCCTGGACCCTCTCCAGCAGGTCCCTGTCCTTCTGTAACTGGGGAGCCCACAACTGGTCCCAGTGCTCCAGATGGGGCCTCCCCAGGGCAGAGCAGAGGGGCAGGATGACCTCCCTCCAACTGCTGCTCACACTCTTCCTGATGCTCCCCAGGATGCCACTGGCCTTCTTGGCCACCAGGGCACGTTGCTGGCCCAAGGGCTTATGAAGATACCGATCTGCAGATCTCACCAGCAACACCAAGTCATGGATCTTTACAGCTTGGATTTGCCGTTACCCAGAGTGACGGTTACCAAATCTTACACCATTTTAATATTTTCAGATGGAAAATGCTATATATACAAGCGTAGCAGTCCCACGCTTTGGACACTGCTTCCTCTGAGAAGCCCGAGGCAGCCCACAAAATATTCCCCTAAATAACAGCATCTCCCGTGGACCAGTATCGAGAGGTTATTTTCCAGGCTGAAGAACTGAACAGAAGGGAGAGTAGAAAAGCAGGGTCCGACCTCAAGCTTTGCTTTTAAAATAAACTGTTGAAACTACACCCAGCACCACATAAAAGCCCTGCTTTAGCAGGCCCAGCAATACCATAATAAGCAAAAAGTGCTGTGTGAGGCTCGAGTGATGCAGCTTTTTGGTCTCCTGCTTGAGACACTTACGTTCCACCTGAAAACCGTCCGCGTGGGGTTTGTTTTTTGCTTCCTGGCTCCCGGCTTTGGCGTCGTCATCGTCCAGCAGAGGAACGTAGTCTGTTTTATCCACCGTTTCACCAACCACGTCGTCAAATTTCTCTGCTTCCAGGGTGGCAATGAAGTCCCTTTTCACCTCCTCCTCGATCTCGGGGGGCGGCTCGGTCAGAGCATCCGCGAGGCTGAGGTTGTGATCCAGGTCGGCCATGCTTTAGCACCTCTGCAACCTGGGAAGCAACGTGGGGAAACAAAAAAAAAATAAAAAAAAGGAAAGAAACATTTTAATAAGAGCCCTTTTAAGTTCAGCCAGAGGTTGATGTTGGTAACCGTGTGCCTCCCGTGTCCTAACACGCTAAGAAATGTTTGCTTTAGCGCTCAATTATTGAGATGTTTACAAAAACCCCCACACCAGGAGGGACACAAAGAGGTAGATCATCTCAATCAGGGTTTACTGCATCAATGTTACATTTCGTGTGATGTTTTATCAGAACCTTAAAGAAAAGAAGAGAGAAAGAAGGAAAAAACCCAACACCTGGCCAGCACAAACACCACCTTACACCAATTCCTTGCCCTAGATCTGAGCCTTAATTACGTATCCTCAGCAGCAGAAAGAGAAATGACGCAAGGGAATTGAGTCCTTGGGTTGGACCCGGCCCAGGCTCCCCTACGAGGATTAGGGGTTTGCAAAATCTCCCATGTAAACTTCAGCGACGCTTCTCGTCCCCCCGACAGGGTCCCCGGGGTGTTTCCATCTCGGTGAACCCGGCTGATACCACCAAACCCCCTCCAGCCCCGGGACCTCTGCTGGGAAGGGAAGTTTTAATAACACTGACGTGAAAATAAATAGTAAAGTCCACACATACACATTATACCTCAAGGTATAAATTGGAAACAGAGTAGAAAGAGTCACTGTTTATCTTTTCCACCCCAATTTGCATCATTCTATTGAACTTACTGGTCCTGAAGAGAAAACGTACCTGAACTGATTCATCCATTTTGCAGCCAAAGCTTTGGCACAACAAATACACCCACAAACAATTTATATTTTTTTCCCTACATTTCATCCTTTTGAAGTTATTATTAGCAACAGTCAACACTTACTGAAGTACATTTACAGCAGGAAAACCCACCACTTTTTATTGAGAGAAGGCACCTTTCTGAAACTTTTCTAGGGCAGGGTCGGTCTGTGCCCAACACCCAACGCTACCGAAGGAGCAGAGATATCAAAAGCTCCATCACCCCTTTGAGCCACCTGCAGAAATGGTCTGGTACAAACTGTAAAAACCAAAACCATCAAGAGCCATTAGTATCTAAATTGCCAGACGTACTAGTCCCACTGCGGGAGCTCAACCCCCCTCAGTTTTGGTCTCCGTTTGGAATAACAAAGCAATTTGATGCAATCTGTATTAAATCACTATTCGAGGCACAATCTGTGCAGAGACTCTCCCTCAATAAAAGATTTACTCGGTTTTCAGAGTCTGGCAAGTCAGTGGTTGAGAATGAGTAGAGAACAAGGCTGTGGAAGCAACAAGTTCACCAACAGAATCCCAGAATGATATGGGGTTGGAGGGGACCTCTGGAGATCATCTCCTCCAAACCCCCCCCAGAGCAGGTCCCACAGGAACGTCTCCAGGTGGGTTTGAATGTCTCCAGAGAAGGAGACTCCACCACCTCTCTGGGCAGCCTCTGCCAGGGCTCTGCCACCCTCACCCCAAACAAGTTCCTCCCCATCTTTTGGGGGACCTTCCCCTGTTCCAGTTTGTGCCCGTTCCCTCTTGTCCTGTCCCTGGGCACCACTGGAAAAAGCCTGGCCCCATCCTCCTGCCAGGGCTCTGCCACCCTCACCCCAAACAAGTTCCTCCCCATCTTTTGGGGGACCTTCCCCTGTTCCAGTTTGTGCCCGTTCCCTCTTGTCCTGTCCCTGGGCACCACTGGAAAAAGCCTGGCCCCATCCTCCTGACCCCCACCCTTGAAGGATTTAGAGGTGTTGCTCAGATCCCCCCTCAGTCTGCTCTTCTCCAGACTAAACAGACCCCCAGGATGCCACTAGCCTTCTTGGCCACCAGGGCCCATTGCTGGGAACAAATTCATCCAAAGAGATAGGACAGATTCATCATCCTACAACCAATCCTCACTGTATTGGCCAAGAACCACCAAACCACACGAGGAGATTAAAAAAAGAAGCGTTGAAGCTACAGAATTGTGTAAGTCAAAAGGCAGAGCCACTGGCGAGAGCAGACAATGGGCATTTGTCCGGTCGGTGAAGGAAGGGCTGAGCCCCTGCGGTGGCCCAGGGGCGCTGAGTGACATGGGGAGGGCAGAACACAGCTCCTCTTGTTCCCAAATCACAGCGGCTCCTACTCCTCCAAGTTCTCCGTCAGCAGAACACGGCCACTGCCACACACCTACGGGGCTCCAGCCTCTCCGGGGCAATAGTTGGCATTCCTTACAAACAATGGTATCACACTGATAGCGCTCTGTATGGAATTGCATGGAAGGGTATTATGGAAACGAATGCAGTTAAATTATTCTCTTTTTTTTTTCTTTAACAATAAAAGGTCACACTTGAAGCCAGATCAGGCTTCAAGCAAGTTTTTGTTGGTTTAGATAAAGGCCCTGAAGAATTACCACTTAATGGAAATCCAGAGGTGAAAGGGCTGGAGCTCTTCACCCTTTGAGCAGGGTCACAGCTGAATGAATTATCGCTATTAAAAAAGCCAACTTTATCCCTAAGTGAAAGAATCTTGTTAAGAAAACTCAGCTTTCTTTCAGATTGAATTTATATTTTCAAGCCACGCAGTCTTACCCTCACCCTGTTTATGGATCTGCACCCAACTGATGGCATCTGAGTCCCAACTGGGGAAATAAGTCACTTCCACAAGTTCTCTCTTTGCACTGACCGGTCTCTTCCAAGGAAGAAATGAGGCTCTTAAGGCGTCATCTTTTCAATCACGTCCTCCCTTGATTTAAACTTGAAAGTGAAATGATGGCTTTTAGGTCAGTGAAACTCCAAATAAAATAAAATAAAATATGGAGCTACGAACGCTTCATCTTTTTCTTCAGAAAATGTCATTTAACATAAGGAAGAAAAACGATATTTAAGATTTTCGACAAGCTGCTTCGTGACGTGACCAGGAAACACGAGAATCAAGGCCGCGGTCAGAAAATAGCTACTGAACATCCAAGAACTTGGGGAAAAAGCGGGCAAAGGCTGGAGCGAACACGTCAGACACCAAAGAAAAACCCAGCTCCTGTTCCTCCCAGCAGGCGGGATGGGTCGGGCCGAACGGGGCTTCGCAGATGTCAAGTCCTTCACGTCTGCGGCATCACATTTGGTTCTGCACCAGCACCACGAGACTCACCCACCAAGAACCCGAAGCTTTATATAAATGGCATTTAGGAAAACCTCTCTTTTTAACCTCGCTCCCAACGCTCGTTAGCAGCAGATTACAGGCCGTAAACTGAACTATCGGCTCACAATTTTCACACGTTCACTTCAGATTAACCATTCCTGCTATTTTAGTTTCAGGAACACCAGTGGCCCTTGAGGAGCGTTTCCTCTCGACAGCTTAATTTAGGGTCTGTCCAAAGAGCAAGTCATCGCCACCCTCCCACTCCAATGGAAACTATTACCCGAGTACTTTAAAGAGAGGCCTTGAACATTTCACATCCCCTCCCCTGCACCCAGTAACCAGCCACAGCCAACACCAGACCCCACAGGAATGTGTATGGCCACCATCTTCGGTCTGGAGTCAGGGGGAGCTTCTGAGCAGTATTTAGATGATCCAGAAGTTACTTAGTCCTAATTCCACCAAGATATTCATAGAACCATGGAATGGTTTGGGTGGGAAGGGACCTTAAAGCCCCCCCAGTGCCACCCCCTGCCCTGGGCAGGGACACCTCCCACCACACCAGGTCCCTCCAAGCCCCCTCCAACCTGCCCTTGAACCCCTCCAGGGATGGGGCAGCCACAGCTTCTCTGGCCAACCTGGGCCAGGCTCTCACCACCCTCCCACCAAACAAGTTCTTCCCCACAGCTCAGCTCCATCTCCCCTCTTTCAGGGTCAAACCCTTCCCCCTCCTCCTCTGGCTCCCCTCCCTCATCCAGAGTCCCTCCCCAGCTTTCCTGGAGCCCCCCTTCTTTAGGGACTGGAAGGGGCTCCAAGGTCTCCCCGGAGCCTTCTCTTCTCCAGGCTGAACCCCCCAACTCTCTCAGCCCCCCCTCCCAGCAGAGGTTCTCCAGCCCTCCCAGCATCTCTGGGGCCTCCTCTGGCCCCGCTCCAACAGGTCCATGTCTCCCCTGTGCTGAGGAATCCAAAGCTGGAGTCACTTTTCCTCTAGACCTAAAAAACTGCACTTCAATTAATGGAGCAAGTGCCTTCAGAGCCCCGGGAGCAGCAGGAGCCACCATGTGATTGGGGTTAGGGAAGCAGTTCAGAATTCTTAAACCCAAATCAAGGCTAATCCCACCCAGATCAGCCTCCAACATACAAACATCCCACCACAAGGAACCGATAGATTCATAGAATGGTTTTTTTGATCCACACGAACGTGGTGGCACTTTATGAAATACCTGCCATAAACCAGCATCGACAAGGGCTCCAGGTCAGACCTACGTAGGAACTGGGACACTAAAGCAGTCTAGTTTCTGGGGAAAAATAATAATCATGAGGTTGTGCTGACTTATCAGCAGGACATTTCCTCATCTATATTTAACTTAGCAGGGAATGCAGAAACTATGCATAAAAAAAATAAATCTGCGTAACTAATAAAAGCCATTTATGCATTTTTTTGTAGCAAATAGAGAGCTGGTATCTCAGGCACGTAAAAGCCCCTGGCAAATAAGGGGCTGCCCTAACCCAAAGCATGGTGGGGCTCCAGGAAAGCCTCTACAGCCCAGGCAGGGTCAGGGACAGACAGAACACCCCAAAAACCGGACGAGAAGCAACTTCTCCACTTCCCACCTCTGGTGTTAGAGCAGCCAAATTCCCAGTTCGAAGGAGGGCTTATGGAGTTAAACAAGAAAATGAGTGTATTGCAGAGGTTCTGCCCAAGGGGAGAAAGCAAATCTGAAGCACATTGGTGTGTTGAGCTGCTTAGAAAGACAGATGCTTCTGCTGCCGCTTTTCCTTCAGACGGAAGGACGCTCGCTACGCGCAGGGAGCATCCAAGAATCTTCATCAAGAAGAATACACCGGGTATTTACAGGCAATTATGCAAATCAGAC